CCCGGTGGCTTAAAACTCACGCCAGGTGCGTGTGCGTGCTTGCCCAAGATCCAGAGAGGAGAATGGAGGAGAAGGGATTGTGCTATGGCCATCCCCCCTGGGGGGTGATTTCTCGCTTTCTGTCTCTGTCTCTCTCTGTCTGTCTGGTGAGCGCACGCATCCTATAGCAAAAACCTCTCAAAAAAAAAAAAAGATAATAAATTTTTATTGAGCTTTTTAGTTGACAACATGAGGTAAAAGGAAAAACAGATCTCAACCAATATTTTACACAGCTGTGATAAAATATTTTAGACTTTAGGGATTAATTAATAAGAGATTACATTACTCAAAAGTTGAGATAAAGCTGTAACAAATTTTAACTCCTTGAATTTTCCAGTTGAGTCTCCCTTAAAATAGTAACAACCTCTAATTAGTTACGTATTTCTTCAAGGCCAAATTTTATCCTGTTGATGTCTTTAGATCTGAAAAACTGCTATTTTAATCAACATCCACTAATTCCACTTCAAAAAAGAGTTTTGCATTGGGACCAGCAATTAGCATAATGGCTATGTCACTAAACTCCAAATTAGCTGACTGTGGTGCGAGTCCCAGACCCGGTGGCTTAAAATCGCGCCGGGTGCATGTGCATGCGTGCCCAAGATCCAGAGAGGATTGAGGTGTGGCCATACCCCCCGTGGGGGGGTGATTTTTCACTTTCTATCGCTCTATCTGTCTTTCTGGCGAGTGCACGTGCTCCTATAGCAAAAACCTCTCCAAAAATAAGGAAAAAAAGAGTTTTGCATTTGTGAAATTTTGGCTGTCCTTTTTTTCCCCATAAGCCCATTCTGGTTCAATTTCCAGGTTCCCCTCTCCAAAAAAAAAATTTCCAGGCAAGTCTTTTCTTCTCCTTTATTCAGTCAAAAGTGCTTCATCTCATCCTCCAATAATTTTGCCTACTCCAACCTTAAAACTTAAAGGCTTGGCACTTTTTTCTTCTTTGAATTTGTTTGAATATTAGTATCAAAAACAACCCTGTCTTGTGTTCCTGCATACCAACATCTCCCTTTTTGGTTTTATCTCTCTCTCTCTCTCTCTCTTTTTTTTTTTTTTTAAGAGAGATTTTTGCTATAGGGTGCATGCACTCACTGGAGAGACAGAGACAAATAAATTGAGAAATCACCTCCTAGGGAGGATGACCACAAACCAATCTCTTCATTCTCCTCTCAGGATCTTGGGCATGCAGGCACATGTGCCCAGCATGAATTTTAAGCCACCAGGTTTAGGACTCAAACCACGGTTGACTACATGGTTCTGCTGGTCCCTTCTCTCCTTTAAGAATAGATTTTGAGAATTTTGGTGGACCCCGATTATGAGTCTCTACAGATTTGGTTTCTTTGGGTTTATCTTAAGCTTCGTATTTTTCACTTGCTCATACTTACACCTTCAGTACCCTTGAAACACTTTCAAAAAGATGGTTATATGCTTTGTTAGCTGTCTTGGCCACATTTTTAATGTTCCCTAGTAATTCATGTTCTGCCAGAAGCAAATCTGAACCGTGTTCCTGCACGAACTTGCTAATGTCCTTGGGCATCTTGCTGCGCAGCAACTCCATGGTCCACGCCCGCTGTGGGGCACCGATTGGCATCTCCCCCTATTTTGGTATTTTAAGTATTCATCATCTTTAAGAGTATTTAAGAACTATGTAACATTAATTCCACGATTTCATTTTTTTATTTGACCAAAGAGGGACAGAGTGAGTGAAAGAGAGAAGGAAAGTGAGAAAGCAAGTCACCAGGTCTGGGACTCAAACTGCAGTCGGCCACGTGGGAATCCAGTGCCCTTAACCACCACCCGATCTGCCGGCCCCACACAATTTCATTTCAAAACATGAAAGTACTGGGACCAGCATTTGAGTAATGGCTATGTTGCTGGATTCCCATGTAGTCAACCACAGTTCAAGTCATGCTGGGTATGTGTGCATGTGTGCCCAAGATCCCGAGAGGAGAATGGAGAAGGGAATGCGATGTGGACATGCCCCTTGGGGGGTGATTTCTTGCTTTCTGCCTCTCTTTCTGGCCAACACACGTGCCCTATAGCAAAAACCTTTCAAAAAAACCAAAAACACAAAAAAAGTGAAAGTATCTGATTTCAGTGGAGTATATTCAGATATGATTACAAGTATCAGTACTGTTTAACAAAATGTGAACACATCTCTAAGAAATATTGAGATAAAGAGATTTAAAGATTTACCAATTTACCAACCATAGTTTTAGGTTTAATGTATGAATAAACTAAGGGGGGGAAAAAAAGAGAACCAAGAACTTATATTCAAGTAATTGAATCGACTAAGAAGTAAAATACTGTTATACTAAATGTATAGATATGATTTATAGTTATAAAAAAATCTATAACTTACATTCTTACGAAAAGTTTTGTAAATCCTTAGAATATTTCTAATTTACCAGGCATATACTAATTAAGGTTTTATTAGATTTACAACGCTCATATTAATTAATAAGGCAAAACTAACTTCAAAATAATCTCCTGAATGCCCCCAAACCCTAGATCCCATTCATTCACTCCGAGCTCACAGGGAGTAAAGAATTCATGGCTGGTTAAGGCTCAGGAGCGACACGTGGCTCGGCAAGAGGAACTGGGTCCTGTGAAGCAGGGGCACAAGAAACCCGCCTAGGAAAACGTGGGGTCGTCATTCTTTCTACGTTATCGTAGCCACTGTCTTTAAAGGAAAAAGAAAGAAAGAAAAGAAAAGGAGTAAATAAAAATCTGAAAGTACGAAACCAGGAGCAGCCATGTTTCCTGGAGGGTCTGCGTCAGCGTGTTCCAGCCCCGACTCCAGTCCTGGGAAGAAAGCGAGGGCGCGCGGTCCACGGGACTCCCAGGAGGGTCGTCCCGGTGGGAGGCTGGGACAAAGGGGTCCGGATGCGGAGGGTTGTAGGGAGAGTTCGGGGCCTGAAGTCACTGGCGCTGCCAGAGGCCGGCTAGGCAACAATTCTATCTGGGATGGTCGCCACGCCACACGCGCGGCCTCCTGCCTCGATTTTCCCAAACTCCAATGACCACAATTTATATGATGAAAACACTAAAGACCGGACTATCACCAGGAAACGCGCCTTTCCTAGCCGTTTGCGGCCTGCAGGCCCCCTCCGGGTCCCGCGCGTCCCCAGCAACCGCGCCCGCCCACGCAGCGCAGAGGCCGGAAAAGCCGCCCGGTTTGCGCTCCGAGCTACCTACACCCGCCCTCCGGGCGATACCACCCCGGCGGACCCCTCCGAAAGCCCGGAAATGGTGCCGTCCCAGACCTCTGATTGGTCGACTACGAAGGGGCGTGGCCTCCGGAGCCGGGTTCCGCGCGCCAGAGCCCGCTAGCTGCATTGCGAGCCGGGCGAGCAGCGGGCGCCATGGTGAGGAGTGGTAGTGGGTCGCGGTCAAGGCGAAGGCAGTTCTCTGGGCCTGGGTTCGGGCCTGCGCCCATTCCTGTGCCGGGGCCTGCCTTGGGATCGGGGCCGGGCGAAGGCGGGGGCCCCGCTGACGCTCGCGCCCCGGCTCCCGTTCCAGGTGCTGCTGCACGTGCTGTTCGAGCACGCGGTCGGCTACGCGCTGCTGGCGCTGAAGGAGGTGGAGGAGATAAGTCTGCTGTTGCCGCAGGTGGGTGGATCTGTGGGCTCGCTTTGCCGCGCCGCAGCCCCCAGCCGGCGCGAGCCCCGGCATGCACCGCGCGCTCCCACGTGGCCGACCGCGCGGGTTGGGGTGGGGGCCGGCCCTGGAAAGCTCTGGAGCAGAGGTCCTTACCTTGTATTAGGACTAGAATCACTTTAGGCGCAATATGCAGTAAGCTTCCCAGACTCCACCTCGTACTGATTAAAGCAGAATCTGGAATGTGGGGGTCGGGATCGGTGTATTTTAAAAGCATCCAGGGTTGAAAACTGCCTTATTGCGCTGCAGGCAAGAGTGAGAGAAGGAGACTAGGCATCCTTTTTATCCCTCCAGGTGGAGGAGTGTGTGCTCAGCCTGGGCAAGTTTCACAACATCGTTCGTCTCGTGGCCTTTAGTCCTTTTGCCTCTTCCCAAGTTGCCTTAGAAAATGCCAACGCGGTTTCTGAAGGTGAGTCGGCCCCAGCCGATTATTTCAGGAAGATAACGCGAGATGTGGTTCCTGCCATTAGCTGTCTGAAGGGCCAGTAATAACGGTTGCTTTAAGCCAGTTCCAAATCTGATAGACGCTGGGCAGCATTAGAGATGTACAGAACGGAATTTTTAAGTAATTGTCTTCACAGATTCTAACGTCTGTGAAATAATAGACTAAGTGGTCGGCATCTAACACACACAATCCAGACATAGTTATTTCCTTGTAGGCACTGTAGTGGTTCTTAACTAGAATCTGGAGAGAAGTGTTGCTTTAATGCTCACCTGTGCCCATGTTTGCCTAAGCACAGTAGAATGTCTAGTTCTCTGCTATATCAACTGATTGGAAAAGAGAATTCTGATAAATAAAAAACAAGAAAAAGATTTGGATCTAGAATGCAAACTGGGTACTAAATACTTAAGGATGTGGAAGCCAGTGGGTGATGGAGTGGTTAAGGCACATGGCCCACCTCCGTTTGAGTCTAGAACCTGCCAGCTTGAAACTCACGCTGGGCGCATGTGTACATATGCCCCAAATCCCAGAAGGTAGAGGGGATTGTGGGTGACCATCCCTCCTAGGGGGTGATTTCTCACTTTTCCTTCTCACTGTCTCCTGCAAATGCATGTGCCTTTTGGTAATTTTTTTTTTTTTGAGAGGTTTTTGCTATAGGCTTTCAGAAAGCGAGAAATCACCTGCAAGGGGATGGTCACGCCACAATCCCTTCTGCATTCTCCTCTCGGGACTTTGGGCACGCACATGCACACTCCCGGCGTGAGTTTTGAGCCACCAGGTCCGGGTCTCAAACCATGGTCAACTGCATTGGAGTCCAGCAACATAGCCATTACGCCAACTGCTGGTCCCAGCAAAAATCTTTTAAAAAAAAAATACTTAAGTGTGTGTCATAAGTTCTCAGTGTTGTGGTCCATATTTGTGCTATTCGATATGAGTCCGGTTCCCTCTGGTTGAGCAGGCTTTGCAGTGATGACTTGTTAATCTGTCAATCCCCTGAGTGCAGTCACTGATGTCTCCATGTCTCTGAGCAATGCCTGGAAAGGAGGGATCCTGGGCATGCTATCCCAGCATGCTCCCCTAGGCCAGTATTTCTTAACTGAGGGGCTAGGGTAGGACCCTTTTGCAGTCGGTGTAAGCATCCTCCAGTGTGTTAGTGGAAGCTGTGTTTTTTGCCCTGAGGTGTTGTTCATGAGGACCTCCGCCTGCTCCTGGAGACCCACTTGCCGTCCAAAAAGAAGAAAGTGCTCTTGGGGGTTGGTGACCCCAAGATTGGTGCTGCTATACAAGAAGAGTTAGGGTACAATTGCCAGACTGGAGGCGTGATAGCTGAGATCCTGCGAGGTAAGGCCATCGTGTTGTATTATTGATGTATTTCAGGGGTGCTCTGGCAGCTTGCCTGGGTTGTTAAAGGTTGCTTTTGGGGAGGCCTCCTGCTTGGCTGGTGTCTGTGGGTGCAGGAGCTAGCTCAGCCCTTCCTTGCTCACAGTCACGCCCCCTCCCCTTGCCCTAGGAGTCCGTCTGCACTTCCATAATCTGGTGAAGGGTCTGACTGATCTGTCAGCTTGTAAAGCCCAGCTGGGACTGGGACACAGCTATTCTCGTGCCAAAGTGAAGTTTAATGTGAACCGAGTGGACAATATGATCATCCAGTCCATTAGCCTCCTGGACCAGCTGGATAAAGACATCAACACCTTCTCCATGCGTGTCAGGTAACTTGCCAGGGCCACCCATGATGATGGAATCTTGGTCCATAGGATAGCTCATCTTTATCCATTTTTTATTTAATTTCATCAGAGAGTAAAGGAAAGTAAGAAAGCAAGCCACCAGGTCCAGGACTCAAACCATGGTCAGTCATGTGGAGGTCCAGCGCTCTTAACCACCATACCACCTGCTGGCCTTGGGATAGCTAATCTTGAATCCTGAGATCAGGACTGACCGTTTCTGTGGGTAGGACCACAGGGCCTGGGGCAGTCTAGGCCTCCTGGTGCTTACCACAGGCTGTGTTCCTACACTGACTGTATAGAAGGAGGAGGCAGAGTAAACCTACCCCATATACACCTCAGCCCAGGCCCTGTGCCTAGTCTGTATTGTGAATGGGGAGACACAGAACCGAGAGGGACTTGTTTCCATTTCCTGTGGGCAGAGTAGGTGTGGAGGTGGTTAAGATTGGAGCTTTGAGCTGGGTCGGCTGGGCCAGGGAGTACTGTGGCTCTTTGCAGGGAATGGTATGGGTATCATTTTCCGGAGCTGGTAAAGATCATCAATGACAATGCCACATACTGCCGCGTTGCCCAGTTCATTGGAAACCGAAAGGAGCTGAATGAAGAGAAGTTGGAGAAGCTGGAAGAGCTGACAATGGATGGGGCCAAAGCCAAGGCTATTCTGGATGCCTCACGGTCCTCCATGGGTCAGTGCAGAGCCTGGCAGCAGCATAAGATGTGGGGCCCTTGGGAGCTGGCTTCTGTATTCACACTTGGTGTTTCCTAGGCATGGACATTTCTGCCATCGACCTGATAAACATCGAGAGCTTCTCCAGTCGTGTTGTGTCTTTGTCAGAGTATCGCCAGAGCCTACATACTTACCTTCGCTCCAAGATGAGCCAAGTTGCCCCCAGCCTGTCAGCCCTCATCGGGGAAGCGGTGCGTCACAGGGAACATAAGGATTGGGGGGCAAGGAGCATAATTAACCGTGTATATCTGTACTGCTGTACCTCCTGGCTCACCTGTGCCTTCCCAGTTGTGCCTGATGGGGAGGTGAGTGGGGGGTGTACTTGGTAGGGCAGCAGTTTAGCTGCTCTGACTTTCTTTGAATCTCTTTCCAGGTGGGTGCACGTCTCATTGCCCATGCTGGCAGCCTCACCAACTTGGCCAAGTATCCAGCATCCACAGTACAGATCCTTGGGGCTGAGAAGGCCCTGTTCAGGTACCAGTGAGGGCACCTGCCCGTGCTCAGGTGCCACTTCTGGTGCCCACTGCTTGTTGAGGGATCACAGTGATGGCTGACCAGGGCTTCCTGACCTATGCAGGCCTCTGCTATGGGAGTGATGGCCAGTCCTGGTGTCTGAGTGATTCCCAGGGCCCAGCAAAGGGACCAAGTTTCCAGATCAGCGACATCAGGTGCCTTCCCTCTGCCTCTGGGAGCTGTGGGTTGGCATGTGTTGGGTAGAGATCCAGCCTCTTAGGCTCGCTCTGGAGACTTAAAAAAAGGCAGGGAAGGGAGGCACTGCCTTGGCTGGCTAAACAGGGCTTTAGGTTTCTGATCTTAAATTCTCTACTGACTCTTCCCTCAGGGCCCTGAAGACAAGGGGTAACACTCCAAAGTACGGACTCATTTTCCACTCCACCTTCATTGGCCGAGCCGCTGCCAAGAACAAGGGCCGCATCTCCCGATACTTGGCAAACAAATGCAGCATTGCCTCCCGGATCGACTGCTTCTCTGGTACGGGGGCAGGGGTGGCAGTCCTGAGATAGGACTGGGGGTGTGTAGAGGCCAACTGCCTGAGCAGCTTCTACAATGATGCCAATATTTTTCGTCAACAGCAGTTCACCTAGTGAGTGTTGATAATTTGGGTCTGAGTGAAGCTGAGTGTGTACCCGGAATACTGAGGGTGGGGGGTGACTGTCACTAGAGCTTACAGACTTTGCTTGTCCACACACCCCCAGAGGTGCCCACAAGTGTCTTTGGAGAGAAGCTTCGAGAACAAGTCGAGGAGCGGCTCTCCTTCTATGAGACTGGAGAGATTCCACGAAAGAATCTGGATGTCATGAAGGAAGCAATGGTCCAGGTCCGTTGGGGCTTCGCTGGGTGGGAGAACCAGAGCTTGCTGTTGGACATGATGAATTGTTCTAACCTGACCTCGTAGATGGAGGCAAAAAAACTGATTTAATGAGCCTGATCCAGTATACAGCCAGAAAAGGCACCTTGGGAAGCTACGCGCTCTTCTGGCCTTTTCAGAGCTTTTCTTTGACCAGGCAGAGGAAGCTGCCGCGGAGATTACGAGGAAGCTGGAGAAACAGGAGAAGAAACGCTTAAAGAAGGAGAAGAAACGGCTGGCTGCACTTGCCATGGCGTCTTCGGAAAACAGCAGTACTCCAGAGGAGTGTGAGGTCAGTAGTCCAGTCTGCCTGGGTACAGATCCCAGGTTGGAGGATTTTCAGCAGAACAAAGGATGTGCTGCATTAAGCCATGGTCATGTCCAGACTTCGAACTAAAACAAGGACCTGAAACATCTAAAACTGCCTCTAGGTTCTATAGGAAGACAGGAGCTGGTTGCAGCACACACTCATTCCCTGGGCAAGTGTGTTCTGTCCTCAGCTGCCTCCCAGGAGTCCTCAATGTGGGGAGGGGGGGCATGGTATAAACTCCCGCTCTGCTTGTTCTCAGATGGACATTCATCCCCTGGGGGAGGGACATGCCCAAAGTAGTATTTCCAGCCTATGTCATAAACCCGATTAAAGCAAATCTGCACAAGTTCATCATGCACACATCTCCAATGTGTGCCAGAGGTGGTAGTGTTTCACAGCAGGGGTGGGGCAGGGAGGTCTCCAGTGTGCAAGATACTCATTCTGAGATTTTTATTTAGTGCCCCATTTGTTAAATGGAGTTTTAAGTTCCCCTCTGGAACTTGGTGTTGATGGATCTTGTGATCAGCATGGTGGGTTTCATTTAGGTTCCTTAATGGGCTAAGGTAGTTTTTAATTATATTTTTTTTCCCTGACTTCTAATTGGGTATAGCCTTTCTGGTGGATTTCTACATCATAAAGCATTCCAGAAACACTGGACAGTTTTAACAGAGCTTTACCAGTCTTTCTGAGATTTTAATGGGGGGTGGTACATCCTTACAATAGGCAACTCTCATGCTAGCCTCCTGTTTACCTCTTTAGGAGACGGGTGAAAAACCCAAAAAGAAGAAAAAGCAGAAGCCCCAGGAGGTTCCTCAGGAGAATGGAATGGAAGACCCAGTTCTCTCTCCCCCAAAACCCAAGAAAAAGAAATCTTTTCCTAAGGAGGAAGTGGTTAGTAGTGACCTTGAAGAAACGGCTGGCAGTGTAAGTCTCCCCAAGAAGAAGAAATCTTCACCCAAAGAGGAAATGATCAGTGATCCTGAAGAGGCAGCCAACAGGAGTGTCCCCAAGAAAAAAAGGAAATTCTCTTCTAAGGAGGAGCCAGTCAGCAGCGGACCTGAAGAGGCTGCTGGCAGCAAGAGCAGCACTAAGAAAAAGAAAAAACTCTCAAAACGTGCCCAAGATTAGAATGGACATTCATTCTTTGGGGGGAGGGGCATGCCCAAAGTGGTATTTCCAGCTTATGTCCTTAAACCCCAATAAAAACAAATCCACAGAAGCTTATTACACACATGATTTTTATTGAACACCTTACATAGATGTGGGCATGACCTATGGGTGGGGCAAGGCAGCAATAACAGCCTCAGTGAAGTCGTGGCATGTGGCATAGCCACCCATGTCATGAGTTCGGACCTGTGGGGGAGAATTGTCATCATCCCTGTGGCCTGGGCCCCTTCCCTAACAATTCCTCACCACCACCCAACATACAGTTCCCTAGGGAAGCCAGCCCCAGGACAACCTAGGTTCTGCCCAGAAAGGGGATTATGGTCCACTGTCTAGAGGGTCATGGTCTCTTCCCTGGTCCACTGCACTGAAGGGGTGTGTAGGTAGTATGGTCCTTGTGAGGTTGGAAGGAATAAAGGGCTCTAGCCCCCATGGGGGTGCAGATGGCCGATGACGGACTTGATGAAGTCAGTTGTGGTGCTGTAGCCGCCCATGTCTCGAGTCCGCACCTACAACCACCACCGGCAAAGGCCGTGGGGAAGAAGAGAAGAGAGCCCATGATGGGGGTGGGGCAGTCTGGCCCAGGGAATGGAATCCAAGAAGGGGTAACAGAAGGCCAGAAAAAAGATGCAGTGCAGGAGGGACGGAAGAAGGTGACCAGGTTTGGAGGAGCCCACTACTTGAGCCCTATCAGAGCTACGCTGCCAGGACAGGAGGACAGGCTGAGCATGAAGTGAGATAGAGTACCTTGGAGAAAGTAAGGTGAGATCAAGTGGGAGGAAAGACACAAGACAATGGAGATGAGCATGTCCTCCCCCGCCCCCAGAGAGGAGAAGAGGAAAAGGCAAAACCAGAGACTTGGCCTGCCCACTAGCTCCCTCTGCTGCTCCACCCCCAGAAAGAAAGCTGCAAATTCCCATTCAGATGGCCTGTGACAGGGTCAGTTGGAGGAACAGGAAAGGGAAGAGCAGATGGGAACTAAAAGAGGCAAAGGAAACCAAGAGGATGAAGGGAGGTAAAGAACAGCCCTGAGATACAAGGGTCAGAGAGATTCTGGGGACCTGGAAAGGAGCCCCCCCATTCAAGTTCCCCAAAGAGGAATGCGGAGCCCTGAACCCACAGTCTAAACTCACCTTGCCAACTTTGATCACCTTCTTCACAGCATCTGCAATCATGCTGGAGTGATGCTCGAGACTGCCAGTGTAGACAAGAAGAAACTGAGACCCTGCCCAAAACACCCTCCTGATTTCCCCACCTGGCTCCTTAAACGCCCAACTACCCGTTTCCCCACCAGCCTCCCATGACCTACTTGAGATGCCGCAGCATGTTGGAAGCTGACAGCAGCATGGCTGTGGGGTTGGCTATATTCCTGCCTACAGCCTGGGCAAATGGGTGCCGGGCGCCCTGCAGGGAGAAAGGCGGGTCAGAATTACTTCAGGGGCTAAGGCATTATGGGAGAGAGGGGGAAGGGTAGGGCAGGGTCACTGAGAACAGGTATGGAAAGGGAGGAGCAGGACAGGGTCACTTAGGACAGAGAGGCCTTCAGGGGAGGAATCAAGGACCTGAGTTCTCAGGAAATGCCACAGAGAGCTGAGGGAGAGGCTTTGCTCACCGTCTCAAAGACTGCATACTCTGCACTGTAGCTCTCACCGGGGACCACGCCAGCTCCCCCAACCAGGCCAGCAGCTAGATTGTCAATAATGTTCCCGTAGAGATTGGGCATCACCAGCACATCAAACTGGTAAGGATTCTGCACCAGCTAGGGGGAAAGAGGTGGGCATGAGGAGGGGATGTGAATTCCGCTCTCTCCTTCCCTCGGCACCGAGTGGAGAGGACCTCACCTGCATGCAGCAGTTGTCTATGATCATCGTCTCAAACTTGATTTTGGGGTACAGTTCAGCAACTTCCTCACAGCACTGTAGGAACAACCCATCTCCAAGTTTCCTGTTCATGGGCCAAAGGGAAGTACATCAGTCAGGAAAGCGCAGGAAGCTACCTTGCCAGGAACAATCACCCACAAAGCCTTGTCCCTCACATGATGTTGGCCTTATGGACAGCTGTGACCTTGCTCCGCCCTTTCTTGGTGGCATAGTCAAAAGCAAACTTCGCAATCCGCTGAGACTTGGCTCGAGTGACAATCTTCAAGCACTCGATCACGCCCCTTGCACTCTGGGTGAGAAAGAAGATACGGTGGATGCCACTGAGAAGGACGCCCGCCTCCTTCCTACCTTCTTCCCTGCCCACCGGTTTCTGGGGTGCCTCACCTCATGCTCCAGAGAGCTGTATTCCCCTTCTGTCTGCTCTCGAATGATCACCAGGTCTAGATTGTTGTGCCGAGTCATGTACCCAGGAAGTGACTTCACGTGGACCACGTTGGCGAACAAGTCCAGCTTACGCCTGAGGGTGAGCAGAGCCATCAGCTCTGAGGCTGGTACTCCAGCATCCCTCCAGCCCTTCCTGAGCCCACCACCTACCTTAGCCGCATATCGTAGGAGGCTAGCTCCCCCTTATATTCCATTGGGGTATGGATTTTTCCTGTGTAAAACCAAGTGGGGAGTGAAAGGGGTGGTGTCAGGCACAGGTCAAGTCCAAAGACGCCAAGGGACAATTCCCCTCAGAGACATAATGCAATCCACTCCCATCTCCCACTCCCAAATCCATGATCTTTAAATGCCACTGGGGGCAACGGGCAAAGGAGACTAATGTAGTTAAAAATATTTTCTCTAATGCTTTATTTTTTTGTCATCATATTTATGCTGAAACTTCAAAATGACCTGAAAGGAGGACAGATTTCTTTGCATGTTTATCAAAAACAAACCAAAAAAAGCCCTGCGTTCAATAACAGGTTGTGAAATAATGCTATGGGATCTGTGACCTTTCTAGATGTTTATGTCTACTTATCTGAAACTTTTTGAACAATTATTGAATAGCAATAAAGGTATCAACCAAAAACCACACAACTCCTGTACACGAGGAACAACACTGTACTAACGACATCCATAGAAATGCAAAGAAATCCCCTAGAATTGACACTACAGTTTTCAACGGTGACCTGCAAAATGACTGTATCCTAACCTCCAAATGTGACCTTATTTGAGAGAAGGGTCTTTGCGATATAATTAAGGATCCTGATACAAAATCATCTTGGATTAGGATGAACCCTAAATCCAGTGATAAATCCTTATAGGGAAAAAAAGGGGGGGGTATACAGATAAAAAGACAGAGGGAAAAACCATATGAAGCTGGAGACGAAGATCAGAGCAATGTGTTTACAAGTCAAGAAGCCCCAGAAGCTGAATTAATTTCAGACTTCTGGCCTCCAAGACTCTCATAGAATAAGTTTTTTTTATTTTAAGTCACGAGTTTGTGGCTATTTGCTATGAAGCCATAGGAAACTAATACAGTGAGTATCTCCACAGGAAGAACATTCTGGGCAGAAGGAACAGCCCAGTTTAGGTCAAAATAGTACATATATTTAGAAACTAACACCCAATCTAGTGTGATCAAAGCTCAGAACAACTGTGAAAACTGAGGTAGAAAAATTAAGGGCCAGCCTATAAAGATTTACTTTGGGGACCAGCAGTTGGTGTAATGGCTATGTCACTGAACTCCCATGTAGTCGACTGTGTTTCAAGTCCCGGACCCAGTGGCTTAAACTCCTGCCAGGTGCATGTGTGTGCGTGCGTGCCCAAGACCTGGAGAGGAGAATGGAGAAGGGATTGCAATGTGGCCATCCCCCCTGGGAGGTGATTTCTTGCTTTCTGTCTATCTCTCTGTGTCTTTCTGGCGAGCACATGCACCCTATAGCAAAAACCTCTCAAAAAAAAAAGATTCACTTTCAGGCCAGTAGATTGTGCTGAGGTTAAGATGGCTGGATCCCACATGGCCGACTACATGGTTTAAGTCTTGGATCCGGCAGCTTGAAAAACATGCCAGGGAGGCCAGCAGGTGGTGTGGTGGATAAGGGTATTGGATTCCCACATGGCCAACCATGGTTCAAGTCCTGGACCTGGTGGCTTGCTTTCTCACTTTCCCTTTCCTTCTCTCTCTCTCCCTCTCTCTCATCAAATAAAGAAAAAAAAAAAATAACAATAACAAATGGAAATAAATAAATAAATAAATATTTAAAAAAAAAAAAAAAAAAGAAAAGAAAAACATGCCAGGTGTGTGTGCACCCAAAATCACGACAAGAAAATGGAGAAGTGATTGCAGCATGGCCATTCCCCCGAGAAATCACTTCTCACTTCACTTCTCTCTCTCCAGTGAGTGAACACACCCTATAGCAAAATCTGATGAAAAAAGAGAGAAAAATAAAAGAGGCTCCGACTGACAAAGTCAGGCTAATCTTTCCAAGATAAGACGACTGTAGGGGCAGAACTGGAAGCCAGAAAAGTCCAAAGATGAGAGCAGAGCAGCAAAAGGGAAGACAGGAGGAGACAGCAAGAAGTGGCATTCCACATTCTAGAAACACAATTAAAAACTGGTGACAGATGATACAGCCTCAGGACAACCTCTGACCCCCATAGCCTTCTAAGTGTGATTTCTCAACTGCTCAGTTCCCAACTGGAAAGAATAAATGTTTCTAAGCATCAGTAGTGGAAGCTCTGAAAAGTTACAATATGTGGACAGAGGGGCTTCATGAAATTTATTTGTTCATCTGCTTTGAAATGACACATGAGCCAGGGGCACACATACCAATGATGGCCACCTTGTTTTCCTTCATAGAACTCAGCACCTGCTCCAGCTTCTCCTCAGATGCCATATTCTGCACCTCGCTCAGGTGGTGCTCCTGAAACTCGACGGGGACAGCAGCTGCCTGCAAGGACAGGTGAGTGTGGGGGGGGAGGAATTGCAGGATCGAGGGCCAGTCCTTCCCAATTCACCCCATTGTCCCCACTGTCAGATACCCCTGGCCACTCACCTTGAACACCTCCTTAACAGCGTGCATCAACTCGGGCCCCACACCGTCCCCGGGCAGCATGGTCACTGGAAAGGCGCCCTCCACCCTGACATCCTCGGCCTGCGGACAAGGCCAGGACAGCTACAACTGGGGCGGGAGC